TTTTTTTTTTTTTCTCTCCCATGAACTTAACCAGAGTCACCTACACAGCTTCTTTTTTTTTTTTTCTTTTTCTTCTTCTTTTTTTTTTTTTTTTTCTCTCCCATGAACTTAACCAGAGTCACCTACACAGCTTCATCTGACCTGGGAGAGAAGTTGCCCAGTTTCATGCTCATCRCTCCTGTTTTACATCATGTAAAAGCAGATGTGCTACATCAGTTACACTAATTGGGCAAAGAAAGAGCAGGGAATGAAGGTCACAGAAGATCACAGACCTCTGAGTCTTCAGCCCTTCAGAAAATCTGTGTTTGTACATCCGAGTTTACATTTGGGAATTTGCAGCTGCTGCTGCTTCCTAGAGAGGTTCTTCCCTCAGGATGGAGATGGGGATAAGTTCAAGAAAGAATTGTTTTCATGTTGTTTATCAAATTTCAAATCCAGAAGGAAAGAGGTCAGCCATGTTTATAGGTCCAGAGATCATATGCAAGAAATGAAGCATTCAGCGAGATTAGATACTTCCAGATCTATTACTATAATTTATTTTATTTCAGCAATATGTATACTGTAATGTTATAGCAAGCACAGATACATAGCCGCAGATGTTAACGTATGCTTAACTCTTCTATTTGTCATAGTATTAGCTTTGGGCTAATTTTGTTTGTTTGTTTTTAAATGATGAAGAAAATTGCCTTTAACTGTAAAGGAAACCAAATCTCTTCGTTGCTTAGTTAGGATTCTCGAGCCTTCTGACAAGTGAGTAAATTGACACATTTTAGTCAACATAAGCATATTTTCTCAAAACTTGTGGGGAATGCTGACTCAGGATAAGGCAAAGGAAAAGGCAAAAGAAAAGCCCACAAGGCACTGAACTAATTGTGCAATGCTGTATGTGGAAAAATGACTTCCTAATTCCTGCACTAAGTAGTCAGCACTTTGAAGCGAGCTGTTTGAATTCCTCCTTATGTGCCAGATATAAATGCTAACAGTGTAAGTATATTTTTCTATGCATTTTCATATGCATCTATATCTATGCATTATATATTTTTTTCTATTAAAATTTAGGTTTATATGCAATTCTTATAATCTTTTACACTCTATTATCCCTTTCAACAGGGATGATTATCAAATACACTTGTATATTCCTTACTTTCCTGACTGTTTGTTTGCATTCTGTTATTTACTCCATCAAGTTTTACCTACCTGTGCTCTAGAGCCTTTTCTGACTTGCATCTTCTAGCCTTTGGATACGTAAATTCTACAATATTAAATCTCTCCATCCATAGAAGATAGATTCAGGGACTATGGGCTAATCCACCTAGTCTTTGCACTATTATTTTTGTGTTAAAAAATGACTATTGTCTCTGCCTTTGCATTGTTCAAAATGCCATAYAATGGCACATAGGCACTCCTAACTACTGTGTACCACTTTTTCTGAGAAAAGCTGAGTAGTGCCAGTGTAGCTGCAAAGTTACACAATAAATTACAGTATGTTGAGCTGTCTGAAATGCAAGCTATACACAGATATTAGAATGAAAATAAGACCGTAAGTCTGGGAACATTTTTGCAGCTGTAAGAGGTCTTACAGGCAATGTGGGCTGTTAATACCATATTTGATTGGCTCTTAACAGATGAGGACAAATTCATGGTGTTTTGACATAGTCCTAGATAATGGCTTTTCAATGCTGCATTGGTGGAAACTAAACACAACGYCCATTTTCCCAGTACAGAATCAAAAGTACTTATGTATGTGTATGTATATAAATATATATTTATATAATGAGGCAAAGATGTTTCCTGCAGTGGGAATATCTTGCCTTTCAGGCAGGTAATACCTGCCTGCCTTTTGCAGAAACCCAAAGGAGACCTGACTGAGATCTGGAAATCCTTTTGCATATACATCCCCGTAGGGTCCAGCAAATCAAGCTTTCTCAAGGGCGTGCAATTTTATACGTTTAAAGGCAGGAGAGGGGAAAAAAACTCTTCAGGACTTTTATTATATATGGGATTTTATTCCTATTAAATTCCAGCTATACTTTTGGCTGGCATACTAGTAATACAACTGGGTTAAACAAATGTCAATCTAATTTCTACACAGTTAAAACTTTGCCCTTTTTTTTTTTAGGCATACAAAAGGATGAGTACGCTTAGTGAAGTATATGAACATACTGCAGCACAGACCTGTACCTGTTACAGGCTGTTAACCAGGACAAGTCAGAGAAATACAGCTGCAATCCCTGTTCTTTTAGGTTAACAACAAAGCCTGTTTCTGTGAAGTGCTTACAACCACTGTACATTTAGTACCTTGGATGTGTAATATACAGGTGCACTTCAGAATTCACCATTTTTTAAAGACTCATAGCATTGCAGAAGATTCATTCACTTATGTAGAAAATAATATAATAGATCTGTGGGGGGTTTTTTAAGCTGTTTTGGATAACAAGGTTAAACAGGGAATCTTTTAAGGAAAAAAAGCAGTGACAATTTAAATAAATCAGATGTTGTTTTCTGAAGATTATGCTGTCATTTTCTCCAATTATTCTTGACATTTCACCCATTCTTATTGTGATCCGAGTTACTAATGGAAGAAGAAGAAAAAAAGGCTCTTGTCGCCTTGTTTATTCTTTGTTCTCAAGGAGATAAGCTGTTTATAAAGATAAGTTATTTGTTATTTAAATCACTTTTACTGAAGTTGTTTGTTGCCTTGTGTTGAGTTTCTAAAAATATTGCAACAATTGTGGTGCATCTTCGAGATGTCTATTCAATCCACTGTGTTTTGTACTGGAATTCATGGCTAAATGGGCACAGGTGTTGGTAGCTACAACATGCTCGAGTGAGTCAAAACCAATAAATGCTCGATAAGGAAAAGATGAAAGAAGACCCATCAAAACCAGCTCTTTTAAAATGCGATAAACTGGCACTTTAGCTTGCTACTTAATTAGATATATAACAGTGTAGGTGGGTCTGGAGGAAGCACATATTTTAAAAGAAATGAACATACAAGGCATTCATTCAGCTCATCACGGGCAAGTTATTATTTAAAAATAGCTACCCTATGGATTGCAGGGCCAAAMAATTCCTTTGATGTCAGAAATTAACTGAAAATAGAACTAGAGTAGTTTCTGCAGCTTGAAAATTTAACTGAGCTTCACAAAAATCTGCCTTTGTCCACTACAAGGGTAAGGAAGAAGCACAGCTTAGATGGGACACTTAGGGACAAGGTTTAGCAGGTGTGGTGTTGAAGGTGGAGCACCATGACCTTAAAGGCCTTTTACCAACCATAATGATTCTATGGTTAAACATCAATTCAGGCACTGCTAATACTTTCAAGATTGTGGATATTTATTTATTAAAAAAAAAAATTTAAAAAAGGTGATATCACTCAGGTTACAGTCTAATTTGTTTACAAAGAGCTCTGCCATGCCCCGATGTGACATTTCTGCTATACACACATTAAAAAGAAAGAAAAAGGCGTCGCCTGTTTCGAATATAACGGCGGCTGCCAGGCCAGGCCAGGCCTCGCCTCAGGGCCGCGGCGGCGCCCAGCGACTCCATTTCCCAGCGCGCCCCGCGCAGCCGGCGCGGCGCGGCGGGAAGATGGCGGCGCGCGTGTCGCCCTTGGTTACTGCGCGCCGGCTGCTGCGCGCCGCGCTGCCGCCGGGCCTGCCGCGAGGTCGGTACCGCGCCGGGCCGCACCGCGGGGCTGCGGGTGAGGCAGGGCAGGGCAGGGCAGGGGGCTGCCGGGGCCAGGGGGCTGCCGGGGCCCCGAGGCGCGCGGCGGCAGCAGCAGCGCGGCATCTGCGCGGGCAAGGGCGCCGGCGGGTGACGGGCGCGGGGACGGAGCCGTTACCGGGCCCGGCCCCTGCGCCCGCTTAGCTAAGCGCTGGGCAGAGCTCGCTGCTCGCTGGGCACCGCGTAAGGCAAACTGGAGAGAGAACCCGGCGTGGGGAAGAGATCCCTGATGTCCCACCAAGTGCCAACTGGGGCTGCAACTTTTGAGAGTTTAGAGAAGTTTCGGTGACTTTTTTTTTTTTTTTTTTTCTTCCCTCTTCTTTTTCCTTTTTCTGTCACTCACAAGGGTCTTCTCATGAGCAGTAGTGGCTGAGCTTTACCTCGTAGCCTCAGTGACTTAAAAAGTCAGAGCAGTATGCACATTCATGGGAAAGCAGGCTTTGTTAACCCCCATTCCTGTCATAGAGAAAAACATTTTATTTTATTTATTTTATTTATTTTATTTATTTTATTTATTTTATTTATTTTATTTATTTTATTTATTTTATTTATTTTATTTATTTTATTTATTTTATTTATTTTATTTATTTTATTTTATTTTTGGAAACCAGTTGTTCCCTGATGGAGTCCTACGAAAACGGAAGCATTCAGTGACAGCTCTTGGGGTACATAGGCCTGAAATCCACTGGACTTGCTCTGTGGGTCTAAATGTGTTTGGGAGAGCTGTTAAGTGTTCACATATGTACGTTATATTGGGCTGGTGCAACACCTACACCCTGAGGAAATCAGACTTAAAATAGATTTGCTGATTAAATAAGCAGTTTAATCAGTACTGCAGTTGAGTATATTCTTTTTTTCATTTAATTTCATTTGTTGTTATCTTAGCACTTTTAATATGTGTAAATTAATTGTGGACATATTATAAAAATTGGGGCAAATTCAGCGGCAGTAGCAGCCTTCTTTGGCTATTAGCTTTTTTCCCCTTGAAGGTGTGTGCTGAGCCTTCATGCATGTGCCAACCTTTCCACATCTTATACTCCATGGGACATTTTGCATATTTGAGATCAATTCTGCAAAGACTTGCACACGTATTTAATAATAGATGAGCYAAGAGCGTTGTTACCATCTATAGTTATAGGGCTGTGCAAAAAAAGGTCCTCTCTGATCTAACCTTTGCTCCTGTTCTCCTGCAGGAAAACAACCTTTGGAGCTACCACTGTCCATCCCCTTCCCTGTAGTACCAGCTAAGAAGGAAAGATGCAGCAGCAGTTTTGTTACCAGCTTAATTAGGAGTTTAGTGAGGTCTCTGGTAGCACCACCTGCCTGTTAATCAACGTGCCCTGTGGCTTCAAAGTCCCCTTCTTGTGCTGTGGCAGCTGTGCTTCTCAGGCAGCTTCAGCAGCTTTGCACTGGGGGCTTGAGGGTTGGCAGCAGTTTGACCTGAATTCACATTCTAACCTTCTGCTTGGATTGTTGAAGACAGGAACAGTTTATAGAASCTGTTTCCTTTTACTTTTTTTTCTGCACTAATTTCAGCCTTTGTGAAAGGCTCTTGAGATGGAATCCTGTGTGCAGAGACGTAAGGGAACAGACGTGTTTCCTGCATCGGCCCTACGCCTTAACACTGGTTTAGCAGAAGCTCTTCCAGGTTTTTAGTTGTGACTGTCAGCAGAGGTGGCACTTGGGTGATTTTGGCACATTCACTTTGGTGCAGCTGTAACCTCAGCGAAAACAGTTTGGTTTGGGTGCAATTCTCAAAGAGTTATCAGTTGGATTTGTTTTTAATTGTTAAAACAGATAGCAATCAACTGTTAGGATGATGTAGCATAGGAAGTGTTTAATTCTCCATCTCTTATGTCTTCAGAATGTTTTCACCAAAATACACTGTAATCAAACACATCCTTGGCTGTATCTCAGGATAATTAGACAGATTTAACTCTCCTGGTACTTGGAAAGGTTGATGTTCCCTTTCAGCCTTCATCTTCATGAATGAAAACTACTGATTGTTCTCAGGATGGAGTGGTTTGAAACTCACAGCAAATGAATATCTATATTTTTTCCACTATCAGTTTCTCAAATTGCATATTTCAGCTTCAGTTTGTTTCACAAATTAATAATAAATGTTTACTTGTGYACTGCAGATCACTCACCCTTTAGTGAGGTGAGTAGTGTAATCTCACCCGGGATTTGCCTTTCAGAGTAAAAAGGAGTTATGTCCTATTTGTTTGGCCTTGGCTGCTTTAGCTGGATACTCAATACCTGTCCTTACAGGTGTTAGGTGTATATCCTTTCTCCATCCTGTCTTTAAGGATACTCTTAATCCTTACATTGCACTGCATTTCTGGATGTAGTTCTAGTCACGGGTATCCTTGTTGGTAGGAAAAAAAAAAAAAAGTGATCTTGCAGACCAAATTTTAGTTTTGCTGTGTGGAAATAGGACTTTTATTCCRCTAATGAATAATCGTTTTGAAGATATGATATCTTTTGCACATCTTTGAATTTATTCTTCTGTGGGCCGTCGAGGTGACGGTTTCAGCAGTAAGGGAAAGATGGAAAAGAGGAAAGATGCATGAGACTTCTCCCCATATTTAAGATATTCCAATTCAAACCCTTGCAATATGAAATCAAACTACAAGCAAAAAGGGTCGCCGGAGTGAGCGGTGTGTATCTCGGTTCCCTGTCTTTGTGCTTCGCTGCTGTCAAGATGAGTTTTTGAAATGCCACAATCCAGCTTCCATTTGACATTATCTTCCTGCAGGAACAGCCCTCGTGGCCGCCTTGCTGCGCTCCTGCCTGCGTAAGCAGTGTCATTGAAGCTCGCATGCCTTCCCCCTGTGTCATCGGGGACGGCAGCCCCAAGTGGCAGTAGGAAAGCTTGACAGTGGGTTGATGAGTTTTTCAATTTGCTGCCCTTCCCAGGGCAAAGGGTCACCAAACTTAGGAACCCTCAGAGTATTTTTATTTAGACAGTTACCTTTTGAGTCATAAATTAAGCTTATTTACTGAAGAAATATAGTTTCTGTGCCAGTTGAAATGAGATTTCCTTTCAATGTTCATGGTTTAGAAACAAGAATTTAATAAAAAGTTGATTTCTGGTGACAACTGCGTAAGAAACAGTGAATATCAGGCCAAAGGTGACAATCTCTAGCAGTGTCACACACCCTGCAGGTGGGAAGGATTGTTATAAGCAAACACTAGTCTCATCAGTTGTATACTGTCTTACGTAAAGCTGACTAGTGAGTTAGCTTTGCACTTTACAATAGTCATATTTAGAATGTTACATGAAAATTGAAAGTGCATTTTCTCTATGTGACATTTACGGATTATAGAAGGGATCTATTAAAAAAGTGACAATCGCAAGGCAAAGCACAGGTAATGTCAGAAGAAGAGATAAAGACTTTTTGCAGAATGTTTTTACAATATGGACAAAAAGACTGCAGGACTCCWACTAAACCCTGAGTGCAAATGAGGAAACCACTCATTCTTTGTTCATTCTTTGTATCAGTCTAGGATATGTTATTCACTTCAATAGCTCTTTGGTTGCCTGACTTCCCTCTAACACCCCTACATGCATTCCCTCTCCCCTGCTGCCAAAGACATATGTCCTTRTTTTGCAGCTACGAGTCTGAAATTATCACCCAGCAGTTACTCTTCATCCCTTGGTGGAGACGCGTCAGTGTAGCCCCTCTTCACATTTAAATCCCAGTGCYGAGTAGTATTTTGGGAGAACAGTGAGTGCAGAGAGCAATTTGTTCCATGACACCTCTCATCTTTCCATCATCTGTTAATGACATATTTTCCTCCTGCTTTGAGCTCAGTTAGCTATAAGTACATATGTAATCTGAGACAACAATYGTGCATCCACAAACCACCATGTTCTAATCCCTAAAACATCTTTATTTATTTATTTCATCTCTTCCCCCCACCCCCCCTCCTTTTCCTCTATTCGGGGGCAATGAGGGACATGTTGGCCATCACTAACCCGCCTCTGATGGATGTTGGTGAAACCTATTCTAAAAATTTCCTTTCCAGCACTGAGGGTCTTACAGTGCCTAGGCTAATAATCTATTTCATTGCTTTAATTAGATTTACAATTTATTTTGTTTTTCTATTTTTCAGCACCCTTTTATGCGTCTGGGGATAGCTGTTGTGCTTTACTGTTTGCTTCTCTGAATATTTTGCTCAGTTTTTGCAATCACAGACTTTGTGATCTTTCTAGCTTGGAATGAGMTAATTACTTTTAATTTGTAGCAGTAACTCAATTCCTTCAGGGCAGGAGAATTTGATATAATTATTGTCTGTAGATATAAGCAATGCCTGCCTTGCTTTGGGGAAACTAACGTGATATGAGCAATAAATACAATTTCATTTTATTGCTCAGTATATTTTGTACCATATTTTAAAACAAAACTCTTCTTGGGCCTCTTAAAGCCCTTCTAACTTCTGAGTGGATAGTGACTCATGATTTAACAAATACTGCTTTAAATAGTCTTCTGGCCTCTCCCATTTAGTCTGTATCTTCCATTAAAAATGCTGAAAAAGTAAAAAGATATCTGCCAAAGGAGATCATAGCCCCCAAACATGGGTGTTTGTATTGTCTCCGTATCGATGTCTTAGTTTGCCTTTTTTTTTTTTTTCTCTCAGTAACATTATGATGTTGTCTTACTGTCAGTTGGTGACTTACTGTAGCTCCTAGATCTTTTTCTTCAGAAATGCTGTTTATTGTCCTGTGTGTGGGAATGGCTCTCCCTTCCAGAGTGCTCGCAGGTGCCTCCTGACTTACTATCACTTGTACGCTCAGTCCGTGTACTTTATTTTGCCCTAACAAGTCATGAGTGGAAATGCAGAATTGCACCAAGTTGAGATTCTGAACCCTTTCCGAGACTGTGATCAATGCAACCATCTAGTTTAAAAGCAGTAATTCATTAAGTGGCATCTTTCCAAGTAGTTTTATACCAGTTGTTTCTTTTGGATCCTATTTTCCTACTTTACATATGAGTGCTGTGTGACACAATGTTCCTGCAATGAAGATGCTTCTGCTCTGCTCACCAGGTGTGTTACCTGGTCTCTCGACCTGTTATCTGGTTGGAGAGGAAAAGTCTTGATCTCACACTGTTCCTAAGGGGTTAGTGTTGCCTCTTAACCATCATGTTGTTATTTTGTTCTATGTTTTCTCAAGAAAAAAGAAATCTACTTGTATCCAGTGGTTTTGTATATTTTAAAGTTCTGCAGATCTATGAAATGTTGCATTTTTCTTCCTTCTTAAAGATTTAAAATGTGCAATTTATTTATTTATTTATTTATTTATTTATTTATTTATTTTTTCCCTGGTGCATTGGAGCCTCATTTTGTCTTCCATGGCCTCAGGGAAAGCTGTTGGAGGATGTTGCATTACATAGGGAAATTGGCTAAAATACTTAAGGACTATTTTCTGTAGAACTAGCCATGTTCAAAATACGTAGCTTTGTAGTCGTTTTCCTACTCAAATCCATAATTCCTTTATCTAAAAATTGTCTTCATCACCTAGCCTTTTAAATTGTGAGAAGAGCAAAGATGTTTAATCTTTTCATTGTATTCTGTTGTTGAATTTCTGCTTCTGTTGCTTTAACAAGCAATAGTAATCCTTGCATGTTCTTTGCAAGCTGCATCCCATTTTGTGCTTGGCAATTCCGATTTCTTTTTGCTCTTGTGCATATTATTTATATTTATAGTTTACTTCAACAGTTTGGAGTGGTTTGCAACAGCAGGATTTGTTTAGCATGCTCCCTGCTCTTCTAGGTAGAAGATGTGGCAGCAAAATAAGCTGAAACATTGCAAGGCATCTGTTTTGTTCACTCTGGTCATCTTTGACTCCTTACATTTCCTTACAAAACTCTACTGTTTTGTACTTCTGTTCACTGGCTTTTAAACCAAATCTTTGTCTGAACTAAATCTTTGCCTAGGTGAGTCCTCCTCTCTCRGAGGATTAATCTATTAGGAAATATATGCTTAACTAAATTTTAAATGGTTTTGCTCCAATTTGCAACAAGTACATGGAAACCTCTCCTTGCAACAATACTTCCAAATCTTTCACCAGCTCTCCAGCTGGGCTTGTTTGTGTGTGTGTTCTTGAACAAATGTTGAAAACCACTAAAGGTGTCTGTCTTATTGAAGGAAATCTGTCTAATGAAAAAACCAGGACAAATACTATAATAGTTGTAGAGGTAAGTAGTGTATATACAACTCGGTATAAATTGTTAAAGTGTTTATGAGTATAAGAGGATGCTTGTCAGAGCTTTTTGTTTAATACTCTTCATTTTGCAGCATACACAGGTCTGGGAAGTGAGAAGACAGYCCCTGGGACTCCTACAGATGCCAACTCTAGAGCCTTGTTGGTTTGCAGTGGACCTTTAGAACATTACGACTTTCTGATTGAGCAAAAAGAGCTGAAGAATGATGAGCAGCAAAGAAAAGTTGTGCAGCACCTGCAGAAGTTGCATGAGAGCCTTAAAGGCTACAGCATAAGTTCAAAAAATCTTCTCTCAAAGGTGAGGTTTGTAAGGATGCAAATTTATTTTAAAATTTATGCTCTCTCATAAGAGTGTGCTTAAAGATACATTAATTTCTGTCTTAAAATTGAACTTTAGTTCTGCAGCTGGATCATTATGGACCATTTTCTCATTTGCAGTTCTGTGCTTTAGTTTGTAAAATACTAGTGGCTGTCTGGCAGCTACCAGCTTAAATGATATTTAAATATATTTTTTTTAGGGAAATTAAATAGACCTTTGATTACATCTGATTTCTCCCCCCCCCTCCTCCCCCCCCCATTTTAAAATGCCCTTTTGCCATTTGGATATAGAAAAGAAGGGCCTAGATCAGATTTTAACTTTCAGGYGGTGATATAATTTTGTGTAATTGGGTTACACATACTGAACATCYATGCTTTGTGTTCTGGCAGGCTTTTCCATGAATACAAGTGAAATTAGTGAGCAGAATTTAAATCTAAGCTGACTAATTAAGCTTTACAAAACATTGTAATATAGAACRGACATTTCTAAACAAGTCATCTTTCCATTATTCTAAGTCCCAGCGAAGTGAGGGAAAAAGTGGTGAGATGTTCACCCCAATTGCTTTCTTTGGGGCATCACAGACCCTTTCCATTATTATATAAGTATTAAAATTTTAGGCATGCCCCTGTTGCACAGTGCCTTAGTCTTAGTAACACTAAAGGCCTGAACTCTTTGCAGCTTGCTAACTTTTCCCTGAAGCTATTAAGGCAGTTTCCCAGAGCCTKTGTGCCAGTATTCTTCATTTATTATTCTCATGTTGTTATTCTGGGAYTGCTGCTCTTGCGGCCTTGCACCTGCAAGCCCTGATAGGGTTGTTATGGCACGTTCTCATGGGAAGCTCCTGGAAGTGGTGTGAGAATCACCCCTCTTTTGCCTTGCCTCATGTTTTGTAGATTTTAGCCTTTAGCAGAGAAGGCCTAAGACAGGACTCACCTAGGCAATAGAAGTTATTTAGATACTCAGGCTCTTGTGATGTATATTAACTTAAAGAGTTGAGAAAAGATTTCTGTGAGAGTCAATATTACAGTATTACACCCATAAATGGCTGCTGATGTGCCTGTTTCAAACAGGCAAGGTAGCAGGTTGTGGAGCTTTGAGRTATATGTGTCTGCCTCTTACATCCCTTCAGTTTTTTTAAACTAAAGATTTGGAGTTGGAGATCATATATTTACTAATCATTTCCTACAGTGGAACTATTATAACTCCTTTCCTGTCTCTTGATGAAAGGATGTGGATTAGAGACCTAGGAAGGAGGTTTGGTAGAGAAGAATCCTTCATGGGAAGTATTTTTAATGGAGCAGAAGGCTAAATGCTCTGGAAGGAAAACGTAAGAGTGATGAAGTACAGAAGCCAAGTGCTAAGGCAGGATCCTAAGGGACACTGAGCGTATATTTGCAAGGTCTGTTCCAGAAGATACTAGTCCAGCTTTGAGCAGAGGGCTAGACCACRTGGTCTCCTGAGGGTCTCTTCCATCCAAAGTTCTGTTTCTGACTCTGAAACAGGAATTACAGTCAAGCAATTATTTGGAGAATATTTTTGCCTGCTGTATGTAGTTGGTCAGCCCATAACTTGACTTACCTCTACATTTTGGATTTCTATGGTTAAAAACTATGAAAAACATAGGAAACTGTAAAAATGGCAGATACGTTCTGAGAATTGTAAAATTATGGTTTACTTGATGCCTTTGTAGGCTAACTCTTGAGTCTAAAGAGGACTCTTGAGTAGATTTAGGCAAGTGGAAAAAGTGTTTTTTTTTTTTAATTTTTTTAAAAAACTTTTAAAAGTTTTTTTTTAAAACACTTTTTAAAACTTTTTAAAAAAGGAGGAAGGAATTCCTTTTTTTGAAAAATAGATGTTGTTTACCTATTACTCCTCAAAGTGTACCCCTGAGTGCAAGAAAGTCAAGCTGAATTCATAAAACTCCCTTACTGTCCTTGATTAAGCCAACTACTTTCATAAGTGTCATCTAACATGCCAAGGGACTTGTATTTGGAGGATGCTTTACRTGACAATTTTTTTCTTCTCTCAGATTTCTTTCCAGTTAACACGTTGGGCTCATAGTCTTTTAAAATGTTTGTTTCAAACCTGTCTGCATACACTGCGTGAGTTGGAAAGCAGGAAAGCTCTCCAAAGGAAGCCAATTATTTGACTTGTTCCTCCTTTCTCTTCTGGGCGTAGTGCCAAACTTTGGGTTGTTTTCATTCTTTAGAAAAATGTTGTGACCAAAGGTTTGGTCGTACTGTGTAAGACAAGGATCACAGGTTAGTCTTCTCATCTCTGCTGGCAAACTATTTTGGACACTTGGTCTTTCTGTTCTATGGATTCACCATCAGAGAGCAACTTTTAGGACTGGCTTGAGTTGACCAAGTTGTTACCGTTGCTACAGCAGGTGTCTTTTTAGGGCTTTGTAGGTCAGTGGGCCTTATGTAGAGCTGTTGCTTGCTCTTCTTTCTTCCGAGAAGCATGAATAGGGAAGAAAGTCTCTCTTGCCCAGAACAAAAGTAACACTGAGGTTGTTTAGGAGAGTGTTCCTCTATAACAATGCTAACAGCAGTGAATCATCCTGACTGACATTACCTTAAAATCAAAAAAACTCAAATGCCATTGTTTTAGGGGGGAGCRTGGTGGTCTTCAGTTCCTTTAAAATACTCTTGTCTTTCATTCAATACTCCTTCAGTTCCATGCTTTAAGTTTGAATTGACTTTAAAATATTGTCACACAACAACTTAGTATCTGGGAAGTAATGCTGCCTTCACTCATGAGAAGAGTCTGTAGAACTAGCTCTTGGGGTAAGAGCTGTTGCAGCCTGAGTTTTTCTTGTAGCTCTTAGTATCTGTGTGAAAATCTTAAGAAGTTTGATGACCAAACTGAGCACATGAGAAGCCCAGAAAAGGAGAGTAGTGAGTTTTGTGTGATTCTGATAAAGTCTGCTAGCTTGTGTAATTAAATCAAATCATAGTCCATGATGAAGAAGAGCAAAKAGTAACATTTCTGTTTCTCTTCTGCTATCTTTGGGGAAGTTATTCATCAATGTGAACAGAGCTCTTTTTGAAATATAGCGAAGTCTTAAATCAACTGAGGTTTAAATGCTGCAGCAAAATTGTGATCAACAGTTAGTGAAGGTTTTTCTCATCAAAAGAGTCACAACTCTAATAAGCAGCTGGTAGAATCATAGGCCTCTCTGTCAGTAGTAGATAGTGGTGTAAGGCATGTTCCTCTGTCTGCATTGAATGAATTTTTAATACATGTTTTTCTGTTGTGATTTTTTAGCCCAGGGTCTGTGATCCTCTTGKAGACTTGGTTCCGTTTTGAAGAGCAAATTGAGAGCTTTTTGAATCAAGATGTGGGAAGGGCTGCTCAGTGGAGTGAGTGTATGTTTAAGAGAATTTAGACTTCTGAGCAAAAATAGTTCATGAAACTAGTATGAGGCATCTCCAGGAAGTACCTGTGAATGGGTGCAGCTATATCTTGAATTGGTCATTAGTTTGTGAGCCCTCTCTTCCCACCTAGACTTGGTAGTTTGCAATTTTCAAACATACTAGGGCATCATGATAATCATTATCCTATAGATATTCCATTCTTTTTATGCTAAAAGTGTTAACATTGCATTTGATTACAAAATAATACTTAGTAGTGTGTAGATCAATGTTTTGCTTTTTTGGGGGAGATTTCTGGAAACATGACTAGCCTGTTTTTATTAGAAAAATCTCCTGTGTTCAAAAGAATCTAGTGGCTTTTTGTTGTTGTTGTTAGAAATTACAAATAGTGCTGTGCAGCATTTTTCTGGTTCTGTTGTTGAGGAGCATGTACTTGAGAAGTAGCAATAAAGAAAAGGGGAGAGAGAGAGAGAGAGGAGGGAAATTAGTTTTCAGCCTCCTCTTTAGTCTGATACTTGGTTTTTATTGCCTGGGATAGAAATGCAGGGACCTCTCTTAAAATGGCAATTACTCCAAAATTAAAAACTTCTTACAGTTATAAACCTTTAAAAGAATATTCTGCCTTGCTTTTAACTTTGTTTGTTTTGTCACTTTCTATCTGGAGAGTTTTATCCAGTAGGATATTAGGAAAATTAGGGAACAGATATTAATGCCATATACCATAGAACCATTTCAGCGTTAATTTAAAAACTTGCGTTAGTTCAAAACAGTCAAAACTTTGCTGAAGTAAATTGTTCTGGAAAAAGAAAAAAAATCATGTACGTCATGATAATAAAACACACAAATTTTATTATGATGCTTTTTTTTTGTGAGGAGATAATTAACTTGGTATGAATTTGTTGGGCGGAGACAATTAGTCTGTTGTTGCAAATTAAGTAGGCTTCTGTTTTTCAGAATCATTCCTCAAATATGAACAATGGCTTTGCYCTTCAACTTGGTGAAAGGATGGCCTTGTATGTGGAGATATTTTGAGGTCCTCTAAATTGAAGTTCAAGGCCATGAGGGTTTGCGTAGATGTTTCACATCTCCAGCCTTTCAGCATAATACCAATTGGGACATCTTAAGAGTTGTTGAGTTGCTGTACTAATGACTTGAAATAAGCTCAATTATAAGTGAGGTCATGTTTTGAAGAGGTATGAACAATGCTAAACACCATTCAAGGCCTTGAAAATGTCTTCAGCTGAACAGCAACCAAAAGGAGGTCTGAAAGAGTGAGAGAAAGAGGCAGGTTTGTTGATGTTTTTTATTCTACCCTCTAGGGACTTGTCTTCTGTATTTTGCATATTTTAACAAACTTAATATTGCATATTAACAAACTTTGCATATTAACAAACTTAATATTGAAATGTATGTTGATCCGAAAGTTTCTCAGATCAGTGTGTGAATTTTCCCGGGAAATGAATTGCTTGCTTGTAGCATCCAAGCAGGAAGTATGTGGAGAGGTGGGAAGAAACTATATATCATTAAAAAACTGARTTAGAAGTTACCAGAGTGAATTAGAAGTTTTGACAGCATAATGTCTTAGAGGAGAGATTAAAGTGAAATGTTTGACACGATGGAATAAAAGGGAGGCATACACATTTCGAAACAGGTATGTATAAAATGTTTTGGTAGTAGAACAGCATTCTGTAAACTGGGGGATGCYGCTGTCAAAAAAATCTGTAAGACAGCAGATCTATAAAGGGGAAGGGACCTCCTGCTGCAAGTACATACAAAGGATTTGGTAACTCAGTTGAGCACTTATGCTGTTTTCCTCTGCAGCTTTCAAGTTTCAGGTAATGTGTGAGGATCCTGACCAAAAATGAGAGGGGAAAAAAAAAAAAAAAAAAAGGTTTTATCCACTTTATGGTCACACAGAATAGCTGGAAACCACAATCCACTTGTAAACGTCAGTTGCTTCTTGGGTACTCTATTATTTACTTTCCAACTCCTCTAACCTTAGCTATATAGGAGGTAAGTCACGTGCAGCTTAAAATAGGATGAATCTTTACCTGTAGGTGTGGGTTTTCTGTTTTCCCTGTAGAGGCAGCCCAGGTCAGACAAAATGCAAAACTTCTGGTACTATAGATCTACAATCAGATTTATTTTTGTGAAAAATATAAAAGCAAGAATGCTACTATAAATTCTTTATTTTTTTGTGGTATCTGACATGATTGAGGAAGTGGCTGCCTTAAAAGTGGCAACAGTATCACTTCTGACAGAAGCATATAAAAAGCAAGATAGCTTTGCTAGGGTAATTCCTTGATATTCCTTGGATATTTCCTGTGATTTTTTTGCTTAGCGAGGCTAAGAATTTTTCTGCCACTAAGTTTTGCTTTTACACAAGATCAGTTACAGAGAATCTAGTCTGATTTGTCCCAGAATCCCTCCATTTCTTTTAAYTATTAGATATTATTTTGCAATTGCTGTCTTCACAGAAACCTGATTCCATTTTATAAATAAGCTCGAAGTTGATTTAGACTTTTATGGAGCCCAAGCCATTGTTTTTCTTCCTTTAGGCCCCCTAAATCCCTTCTTCTTTAACATATCTCCTAGAAATGATGTTGGTGAGAGAATAAATTCTGCCTAAAAGGATAAACTTCAAGATTGTTAAATGTAATTAATGATAAGGTTAAAATTCAAACATCTGTATAAAAATGCAGGCATTACTGCTTGTTCTGATTCTGTAATGTTTATGAAGGCGGGTAAACTAGTAAACCTTTTGTTTTTCTGTGTGTAACTCCTTGTGAAACGGCTCATTTCATTAATCATCATGATTTCATTTTAATGCCATCTTTTTATGTAATAGACTTTGCCCTTGTAAAAATACCTGTGTGCTTATTAACCTCAAAAATAAATAAAATCTTATATATCTATATCTAATACCTCTTTTTTTGCATTTCTTAACTGTGTAACATTGACATTTTGTAATTGTAATGAGCACAAGCTCTTATAAAGGCACACAAAAATGTTCATCAATTAAATTGTCTTGCTATGCTTTTAAAACCCTAGCAAATAGTTGCAGCCGTGCCTGCTAATGGAAATGTTTCAGAACATCTGAAGTCCTGTTCAGCCACAGATTGATGATATAAATTTTGGAGTATCCTATTGATGTAACTCTAAATTAAATCTATGAGTGGATCTTTTATGAGAACTACACTTGCATATTTTCTGGGCAAACTGCTACTGTAAAGGCACATAGACCTGAGACATTCGTCGTCCTACTTCTGGCCATATATTTTCTTTCACATTGTAATTATTGTTTTGCGACTAACTTCCCCGTTGCTTTAAATGTAGTGCTGTATTTTGAAAAGTGCTCTAAATTCAAGCTGTTTAGCAATTACCCAGCTCCAAATGAGGCCACAGGGTTGTAATTTTAATTTTCCTCTGTTTCTGCTCTGCACACAGAGCTCCCAAGTGCAGCACTTTAGCCGCGTGCTCTGATGCAGCGTCTTTGTAGATGTCAGTTCAGCTGCATGAGTTGATGAGAATTTTGTTAAGATTTCCAGCTCTTTAAGAACTGTTGCTTTTTAGGATTTTACTTGGAAGTGGCTGCGTGGTATCGAGGGAGGAGGGATTCAGAGTCATAGTCATGAGGCTGATGAGAATGATTCCATAAACATCTATATTTATTGAGTAAAATAGAGAAGCTGAACTGTCAGGTATTACAGCATTTGTACTGAGTAAGATTAAGAGATTAAAAATTTTCAAGCAGTATTCATTCAAGATAAATGCAACTTACTGGAAAAAATATGATAAAATATATATTTTGAAATTAATCCTTTTCATATATGAAAAAWGACATTTCAACAGTGATTCCATTGATTTTCATCATGTTTTAAAACACAGATAATTCTGCATTGGAGATTTAGAGTGGAGAGGAAGGAGACTCGGAATGCTAACCAGTTTTGCCATATTTGTTACCTAATCCTTATGGTTTATATCTTAAGCCATATATCTTAAGCTGCTTTAACAGGTATATAAAGTATATGTCTGCAAGTACTGTGATACTGCTTAATTTTATGKTTTTTTTTTCCTCTCTTCATCTAGGGCTGTCTGCTCAAATGACTTAGTGAGGAAGAGAGTTTGTTCTGATGATGATGGATTGGGAAATATTTAGTAATTTTGTATGTCCTGATAAAAATGCATTGCTGCTAAGGCAGGATATGGTCAAATTTTTATACAGATCTAGCAAACTTGCATATGCTTATGTTCATAATTTTCAGAGATGCAGCCTCGGATTCCTTGCTAGTTCTGAGCTCCTAATTCATTCAAAGTTGTGTTTTGCTGGCTAGTCCAACTTAGGCAGCTAAATGCAGCTATTTTTATTTGTTACCACAGCCATGTGCTTGCTTTTATTACACCCGTTGTCTGTATTTATTCTTGTTCTCTTGTTTTGCAGCTCTTTGCAAAGAGCAAACCTCCAAAAGGTCTTTATGTCTATGGAGATGTTGGTAAGCTTCAGCTGCATAAATTCCTGTGGAATTTAATGTAAATGTGTCCTTATTCTGCTTCCAAGTGATCTCAAAGCTTTGTGTTTATATAGCATTATTACATTGATTATTTTTTGAGGCTGTGTTTCTTCCAGAATATGATATGTTATCTAATGCACTTGCAGTTAAAAGTCTGGAAACTGTTRGACTGGCGTGTATATATATATGTGTGTGTGTGTATGTATTTTTTTCCAAACATATTATCCACTCTCCAGTGTTTGAGATTTAAAGATTTGGGAGGTARTGGAGGGTGGCAGGAAGAGAATTACTGTATTTTAATTGCAACAATGCAGAMTGCACTTTTCAAAAGGAAGCACTAAAGATATTATTTTAGAAGTAGAGAGAGTCTCTTTTGCACTCTTTGGGCCAATTCTGTATAGATCAAATTCTTAGAACAATAAAATAAAAACGTGTTTGCTATGCATTTTGAAACATAAAATATAAAATTTCTTTGCAGACAATCTGGCCTTGTGCGTATTCTGCAAAATAATACATTTTTTTTAGTTCAGAGTGAATCAACAATCATTTCTGTAATCAGTACATACTGTTTTAAAATTAACTACCTGTTGGGTGTGTGTTTGTTTTTTGTCTGTTTGAAGGCACAGGCAAGACAATGGTGATGGACATGTTCTATTCTCACTTAGAAGTAGAGAGGAAAAAGAGAGTCCATTTTCATGGCTTCATGCTAGATGTRCACCAGAGTAAGTGCAGACGCTGGTATTTGCAAGAATTATATGAAATATGATATCTGTGAAGAAAGCCCCTCTTGTTCTTCTGTGCATGTTATTCCATGTAATTTTAAGAATTTAAATTAAAAAAAAAAAAGTTAGAGGACTTCATTTTCTGTTGTTCTGGGATAAATGTTAACTGGATATTATTTTTGCAGAATGTCTTTAAAATTTTCTGTATACCTGATGGTATAGAAAACTGGGTGCAAGTTTAGGATTAATTCTTTAGCTAAACATTCTCCAGTTACCTGTTAGCTTACACTCAATCTGAAGAAGACAGTTCTTAAAACTAAGTGATAAAATRGATGTGCAAAGCAACATAATGCTATCACAAAGGCCAGATAATTATCATCATTTTCTCATAATTTTCTCTGTTTCATTGAAATTCAGAGACAAGGACTCATTTCTTCACTTTGTATGTGACTTATCAAGTGGTTATGTTATTTCAGACATTGCCACCTTTCTCAATATTTCTTTTCATTCAAGTTTAGAAAGTTTTTGTTTATATAGAGAAAAAAAATCAAGTGTTGCTACTTCATGTTTTGGGTTTTAGTAATGCTTTSTGTGTTCCTCACTTTGTTGCTAAGGGAGGCTAGTGATCTGTACATTAAGAAATATKAGAAAAGAGAAGATGTTTAAGGGGGATGGAAAAATTAATTAAAACACAGATAACCCCAAAGCTGCCTTCTCTCCACTAGGAAGAATTTTTTTTTGTTCATGGAAAAGCGCACATACAGTATTGGATGTATTGGATATACAATATTGGATATATATATATATAATTTTTGATTGGAAGGGGGAGCTGATACTGACAAACTTAGTGTGCGTTAAACCAGATAGAATGAGTACAAGGTAGAGACTCAAAAATCAGAAGGAATTTAAAAAWATATATACAAGAATGAGCATACAAAATATAAGAAAGTACGGCTTCTGTCTCAATTGCTGCTCATGTTTTTGTTTTTTTTTAATTATTATTTTTTTTAAGATAAATGAAATTAAATAAAAAAACCAAAACYGAACACATAACCCACACTGATCATGGAAAAAGGGTTATGAAGATTCTGGAGGAAGTTACTGGCTTCCTTAGTAGAAAATAAAATGCTGAGAGAAGAATGGGAAAATGTTTTGCAAAATAGGAAATGGAAAATGATGAGTCTGTGTCTTGGGAGTACCTGTAAGAATTGCAGGAGTGCTCTGAGAGCTGAGGATTAATTGTTAGTTCTCTGCAGCACTGGTGCAACTGGATCTGTCACAACAAGGTGATTACCTAATCACCAAAAGCGTCTTAGCCAAACAGGGCTGTATGTCACACAGCAAGGATCGAGTTCAAGCTGTGTTGTTCAAATAAACAATAACTAAACATCATATAAAAGCCAGGGAGAACTGTTCCATGGTGCCCGACTTCATAATATATCACTAATTTTGAGGAAAATGATGGAGAGAATTTGATCGTAAGTATCAGAAAACTTGCTGACAGGGTGACCTTATATGGAACAGCAAGGCACTTTACAGTGCTTGGGATACAGTTCTAGATATTTTAAAAAGATTTCTCTGTCTCTAAATTCTTTGATCCAAAATCAGTTTGGAATTGCTAGGTAGTGCTGTGATTTACAGGTTTTGTAACAGCTACATTTTTTTGTTTCTTGGAAGGATTTTATTGATGCAAATAATTTCCACCATTACTGCTGTCTTGTTTTTTTCTTTGTTGTCACTCGTGAGATTTCTTGTCATTTGTGCTCTTACTTCCATTTTATCTCAGCAGAGCTAGAGACTCACTAGATAGAGGTCTGACTGCAGGACCCATATTTATGAAATACTCATTTTTAGGCAGATTGACTAAAGTATGTACTATGACATAAAGTATGTACTTTTTTATGCGAGTATCACCTTATTATATGTTTTAAAATATAAATGTATTCCTTTATCTGAATTAGTTAAATTCACTCTAAAAATGCCCTCAGCTCATGCAATGGACAGAATTGCGCTGTTGATTTGTAAACACTGTAAAGATTTCTTGATCTTCACAGAGGAGGTTAAGACAAACTATCAAATTTTGACCAGATACTGAAATTAAGGTAACGAATTGGAACAAGGTAAAGCTGTAATATATATTTTTATAAAATAAAGTAGGCATTTAGCGTTTTGACTTTTTTTTTACATATTTCTATAAACAAAAATACCAATTACAGAATTTGTCATTTATTTTTTATTAGCTGTTTATTAGTTATCTGAATTTATTAGTTTTTTTGGAGATGTTTGAGAACTTAACATATGTCCTCTTGAAGTTGTACTAAATTTGCCATTTTTACTGGGTTGAATAAGTTTTTATTTGCCGCTTAAACATTTTTCAAAATAATTTTTTTTCTTTCTATTTTATCAATTGAGGAATACATCGCCTCAAGCAGAGCTTGCCAAAGCGAAAAGCAGGGTTTATGGCCAAATCGTATGACCCGATTGCACCAGTAGCAGAGGAAATAAGTGAAGAAGCTTCTCTGCTATGTTTTGATGAATTTCAGGTAAGGAATCAGAGATTACTCTTWAGTGTCATGGAAACGTCATAAAATTACTTATAAACCTTAAATATGACGCTTGGTGTAACTGCGATAGCATTTAAAATACCATCTGAATGTTCAAGAATAGAAGTAATTTTGCAGGTTTGAACATAGCACATTTTTAAAGATAGCATGCAGGATATTTATTATAAGTCTGTCTATAGTSTGTTCATTTATCATCATGATAGTTCCTGCTCTCTGCAGAGGATAATTTGGTATTTGGTGAGATGCTCCCTAGCAGTTTTGGGCTGAGCTGGTTGCCTTATGGTAAGTCTGGGCAGTGCTCACCATGATGGTGGCCTGATACTAGATTGGCACATCTGGTTGTTGCTGCAGTTCATATAACATTAGCTTATTGCAGCTAAGGACATGGAAATGACTTGCCAAATTCATCCTACGTGTTTTCCCTGAGCTGCTGGAGCCTTTGCCATGTCACTGCCTGATTGTATCACCTTAATGTGGGTCTCAAGAAATTTTCATTGAATTAAAYATGAAAAGTAAAAATGGGTTAAAATACTTTTTGCCCAAGCAGCGTGGTTGTTTCATTTGCTTTATACAACTTATGAATTTTAAGGGCATGCTACAAATTTAAGCATGTAACTTCCCCGTGAAAGTATTTCAGAAAAGAGGTTAGAGATGTTTGGCATCTCTAATCAGCTGAGATTTGGGGTCCAGAGGGACACTGCAGGGCTGTTTGAGTTGTCAACAGTAGAAAAAGTGTATTTTGTAAATTATCAACATTAATAAGTGCATTCACAGTGGATAGAGCAATTAATATCTTCTAACTATTATTTTTAAAGCCTGTGCACCAGTTTATGAGCAGTCCACAAGGACAAGATTTTTGCCTGAAACTTGTGATGTAAAACCCTAAYGCAGAGAAGTTGGAGTCATGAAGAAACAGGAAGTTTTTTTGAAGAGGGTGAGGAGGAAGGGAAGTGTTAACTGCCATAATATTAAATGCTTGGATGGTACAAAGGGGCATCTTTGTTAGCAGTAGGTTTATATAACAGCCTCAATCCCTCTTTTCCCGTTTAAATGTCTCCTGCTTTCACACAGCAGTGTTGCAGCGTTTCCAAGCCCTCCTCTTGCCCCTTCTGAGCAGAGAGACTCTGGTAATTTCTTTTCCCCCAAAATTGGTTGCCTGCTCCCCCTGCTGACGTGCCTGAGGTACATCAAGCATCATCACCCTGAAACTTCTTCCCAATTCAGCACCCTTGCCAAGAAACCTTCTCCTTAAATAGGCTTAAACCAGTGCAGTGGCTGGAAGAGCAGCTGAGACGATGACAAAATTGCCATTGATAATAAGGAGTCATTTCTAATTCTGAACTTCTCCACCTGGTTCCCACAATGGAGATGCTGGCCAGGTTTCACTGCAGCCTCAGTCACTCTTATATTTAAAGAATTGCTAGATTAAATTGAAACTGGAAAGGGCTGGAGAGTCAGAACATGCAGTACTGACTTGCACGTAAAACTACTGCCCACTTTGACAGCTGGGAAGTCAAGCTAGAGTTCCTATTCCCTTGGCAATAAATATGCTTGTGCACTGAGGAAATACCAGAGAGACTATTGAGATTTAGTTGAAGCACTTGATTTTTTTTTTCCTTCAAATACCAGAAAATAAGCAGAATTTATTTTCAATTTAGACAGGGAGACAAGTCAATCTGTACTAGTGCTAGCAAAAAGCAGTGTTAGTGTTCGTATTTCAGAGGAAACCAAATGCAGAACTGTGAAAGGGAGAAGCGTTACTGAGGTTGCAAATTCCTCTGTAAAAGTGAGCTAAAGTGAAATATGAGTATTTTGAAGTGAATCATGCTGTTAAAGATACAGCCCTAAGGCTGTCAAAAAGCATTAATTATTTGACTTTTTTGACTAAGAAACATATTTCAGTACTTTTTAAATTAGATCCTGTTAGATCTTAAATCCTGTGCTCCAAAGTATTATTTTAAAGGGGAAAAAATTAAATGTTTCTTTTTGCAAATTCTGTTTGATAGCTGGGATTTCAGTGCCAGTATTAAACCTCTGAACCATTAAACCATTCTGAAGCAGTTGTTTCATCAGTGCCTGCCTGAGCATTAAGGCTATAAAAGCATTGCTACTTCTTACTGATTGTTATTGCACATTTTGCAACATTTTTGTTGTTTTCCAGCCACAGAGCTCTTACACCAGTCTAAAAAACTGTTCTCACTTGGAAAACAAAACAAAACAAAAAAACCCTAAAACACCCTAGAATTATGCCGTTTGTAATTATAATTTTGATGTTTCAAAACACAGAGGTTGGCCAATAAAATGAGACTAGTTAYTGTCTGGCGATCCAATAACTATACACAGGTAATTAGCAGCTGTGCTTTTGCAGTATGGCTGAAGCCTGTGTTAGTTTTGGTAACAAAAATAGAATTCCTACCTTTTGGTAACTTGAATGATCTTGCAGTGTTAGCGTTTCTGCGCTATCAGTATCACTTGGACTTAAGCAGGCTGCAATTTAGAGAGGTTTTACTAACCTGCAAGGCTATTAAAAGTCTCTAATAAAAATTAGGCTCTTATTTTTGTGCTAATACTAATTACTGATAATACATGCTTATGTTTGTCATTCATTACATGGAACTGCACCAATCAGCAGATGACTGAGTCTCAAGCACTTACACATGTAAATTAACTATTAGATTTWTTTATTTATTTATTTWTTTACTTAAGTGAGTCACAATGGAAAGCGGCACTAGGTCATAAAAATCTTTTCTCTTAAATGCTAATGACATTTCTCCATTCTCTCCACTGGCAAGCTCCCCTTATTGGTAATTTGTAGCCTTTGCTTTTGTACCTCSTTGCAATGAACACTGGATACAGCGGGAGGAAAAAAAGAGGAATGAGAGTGGTTTAGTTACTGTCATTTACTCATGTTGTAGAATTCTCCTACCCTTCCAGAACTGTACCAGGTCAAAGGAGCATAAATTTGCRTCTCTGCACTCAAACTGGGTGTTACTTTTTGACAGTGCTTTCAAGAGTTAATTTTTTTGTGGTACAATGAAAATGTTACAATTCAGAATCGAATAGCGGTTCTCCCTAGTGAGAGAATTTCGTTCATTGTTTTCTTTTACACGAGTGTTAACATTCTTCTGCTTCTGTTTTTCTGAAACTTGTGTGCCTTATTGCATTTTTCTAAACAAAAATGTTCTTAACAAAATAATTTGTCATCTTTTAAAAAAACTTGTCTTGTTTGCTTTGTGATATATAAAGTTCAGTTGCCTTTACCTGTGCATATATCCTGTGCATATTTTTTTCTTTAAGGCAACTGTTAAAGTACTTAGATTTTAATACTCAGGAGAAATAAATTATCAATAGATGAGCACAGCTGCATTAGCCATGTAGTACATTAGTGAATCAATACATGCGCTTTGGAAGATCAGATCGTGCTGATCAGAGATGCACAAATCTGAGGAGCGTGTTACTGATCCTCGGAAGCATTATTTATGAAAAAGGAAAAAAAAATAATCCATATTAATGTATTTTGTAGAACAACACAGAATAAATCTTAGGGAGAAGGAGCCTGGTATTTACTGAAGGTTCTTCATGGACATTACAGCTTTCAAAGTAGTTGTCCAAAAGGTAACCTAAGTCTTTACATCCTAGTATATCCCCCAAAGGCTCAATGCCAACAACGGGTTTGGAGTCAAAGACCTAGTGTAGAATTAAATTGTTTTGATAAGGCTGTCTAAAAATAGGAAGGGAGGAGCAGGGACTTGAAAARAAAATATATACTGATTAAAGTATTTATCTAGCTTGAGCATCATTAAGATATGTATGTAACCTGGCCTAGGCAGAGCAGTCCATCAGGCTTTTGTGTGTCATGAATGCATATAACTGCACATATTTAAATTTCCTYCTTCAGACCTGGGGTCGTGGTAAGTCAAAATGCGACAAGTGGCTGTGTAATAACCAAGGAGAATGCAAGGGGAACAAGAGTAAGGATAGGAGGGAGGCCTCGTGCCTAGGAACGCTCAGCTCGGCTGGTGAACTCCTGTAAAATCTAAATTGCTCCTGTAACAACGTCTCTGTTCAGACAGATCTTTTATGTGCTCGTTCCTCCATCATGTTTTCTGTTTCGCCTTTTTATTTCTTGGTGCGGTAAAACAAGTTAGTTAAGCTCAACTTGGATATTTCAAGAAATGTTACCTTATCGCTTATAGTGTTTTTTAGTACTGCTTGCCCCACCCATTTTTGTGTTTTAGTAGCGTTTTGCGCCTGAAGGTTAGAAGAGGCTGACTGTGCTGGAAGTGACTGCCGTGCCTTTTGATTATTCATGGACAGTAATAGAAGGCACTTAAAAAGAACAATGAAATTGCTTATTTTTGTGATGGGCCATCTGTTGAATTGTTTTTTGCAACAATCACACAATAGTATCTATGTCATATCATTCTATTTTCAACAGCAGCTGATTATGTGTAGTTGGCTACTTGTCTTTATTTCTGAAGTCCCGTAACCATTTAAATTCACCTCTGCAAACCTTTGCCTCAAAGGTAATGGAAATGTAAAACAGCCGGTGTCTATTTTCCTTCTGGGTCTCCTCTTTTTTTTTCCCCCCATGTTGTTTGTAATTAATTAGGTCTCTTAAATGTTTAGGTCTGTTCTCTGTGTCTCCCACCTGTAGTTTTATAATAGAAGTTAACATGGAATCATTTAGCAATTGGGAAAGAAATGGTGGAGTTCTGTATTAAAGAGCAGGCAAGTTTTAAAAGACTGTGGTGCATTCACTGCTTATTAATTATCCCTTTTATTTTTGTTCTTCCCAAGCAATAATTAGAATCTTTCTTTTCGGCTTTCGCTAACGAGCGGTTTTTTTCCCTAGCTATAAAGCCACTTGCAGCTCTATTGCGGCAGAAGCTGAAAGCAAGATAAAACAAATGTGTTGTCTTTCATAGGTCACTGACATTGCTGATGCCATGATTCTGAAACAGCTTTTTGAAAATCTGTTCCAAAACGGGGTTGTCGTTGTGGCAACATCTAACAGGCCGCCAGAAGGTAAAAACAAACATGCTGCTGGTATTATCCAAATACAATGAATCTCCGTTTCTTACAAAGCAGTCTTACAAAAATCATCCAGTATTTAGTGCTAACAAACTCTCGACTCCTTAAGAATCTGACATATTCCCACTTATGCCTCGTGTTTTTTCCTGTCCTTAAGGAAGAAGGGGTTTGCGCTACATCACAGACCTCTCTCCTCTGCAATCCAGAGATGTTTCCCACCCTGTCCTTCTGTATTTTCCAGTTTTCTGTACTCTGTCCAAACCAGTGGGGAGGGTGTTGGGGACTGGGGAGTAAAGGAGCAGTGAAAAACTGCCTCTGCCTTGGGTGTATTCCAGGGTAGGCAAAGATCATATTGAGCAGAAGAGAGGGGAAATGAGACAGAGTACATTCCTTCCCCTGGTCAGTAGCTAGGAGACTTGCCTTGCATACTTTATCCACCAGTTCAAGGGAGAAACCTGCCCCTCATCAGGACGCCGTTCTCACAGCCTGGTTTGAGATCGCTCAGTGGGAAGTGCTTGGGTGGAGAGTTGTTTCCGTTTCTAATAATATTTTTAGATAAAGGGTGGATAAATAGGTAGATCCTTTTATAACATCCCCCTGCCACCTCCCCCCAGGTCTCTATGTGGGTTTAACCAGGCAACAGTATATTATTGGATGAATTGTGTGCAGCTTTTTGGCAAACGCTTGGAAACRAATCTGCAGTGTTATAAAATGGTGAAGGCTTACAGTAAATTAACTTGGCAGAAGAGCATCATTGCTTTTACAATGCACTTTCTTAGTAATCTTAAAAATTCTTCCAATAAAAGAAAATACTTTATTGTAACTTGTTACTATAACGTGGGGGAAAACCCCAAACATCATTTTGTTTTCATTTATTTTCCTTGCTTAAGCAAACAAGTTGAAATCATTAGCTGCCATAGGTGGGTCTTCTGCAGGTAAACCTGACATGGATGCCTTACCCAGATGAGCACCATCATTGTGTTTTTTGGCTCTTCAAAGTTCAGGAAATACGTTTTTTTATCACGGGTTGGGGATTGTGTCTCACATCTTCATTTAAAGCATCACTTCGTGACTACTGTTGATGGTGGGGAGGTTACAAAGTTAGTTTGTSAATCTGAAAGACATCTACTTTTACTAGCTACCCAGGAGATAAAGTTAAGGCAGGCATCTCTAGAGCTGGACCTTGCAGTCCAGGCACTGGTCACTGCCTGTTTTTACCCCTTTTCCATCCACATTCCATGTGCTCATGGAGTACATCTGAAAACCCCCCAGGTTAGGTGTTGGGTTAATGCAGTATTTTGTATCAAAGTTCAGGATTATATTCAGCAGATTTACTTCCTGTGGATACAAAGAGAAAAAAAAAAAAGATGTTTTCATTAGAGCAGTTGTAGCCACCTGATCGTCTTTGCTGACACACTTAATCATATTTAATTTCTACTGCAGTGGAATATGAGGGGAAGTGCTGAGCTGCAGTGTTTGATGAATGCTGGACTTTTTTCTCCACCCAAACTATAGTATCTTTTTTCCTCATCTTCACAAAATAGGGATATGATATAAAAATCATAGCCTTATTTTCAAGAAGCAAGAAAAGTAACTTTCTTACTAATCTTAAAAGGTTTTCCAATAAAGGAAAATATTTTMTTTTAACTTGTTACTGTAAGGTGGGAAAGAAAACCCAAACTTACAGTACTGTTCCATGTTCATTATTTTTTTGCAAGTAAGAGTGCAATCAATGACTGCTTTTGTACCTGTAGTGATTTTTGTAGAGCTATAAATGCCATGTGGCTTCCTGCAGCTTTTTTATCAACTAAGGTTCACAACCAGATYCACTATTATTTTTCCTGAACATTTCTGCATATCCATGCTCCTGCAAACCATTTAGTAGGGGCTGGTTTGGTTTCTCAAGCACAACTGTATCCTTTGTCCACCACAACGTATTATCAGAGCATGGGAAGCTTAACCTAGTTGTAGTTTTTGAGCATTATGGTGTTAATCATCTGCTGTACTTTTTGTAGGGAATTTTTATGGAGATTTATAGCCAGCTGTCTCTATTCTCCTGTTTATTTTCCCTATCAGCAGTAGCTACCCTCCTGCCTTTTCCCAAGGCTTCCTAGGAATATTGAAGCAGATCGTGCAGCTTGAATGATAAAGCTGTCAATGAGGGAAGTCATTCTGCTGTTCTATCAGGAAGCTAAGTAGTTTCTAGCAAAGGGAACTTAAACTGTATAAAATGTGGAGATAAATAAGATATAAAATGTTGCTTTGCAAATTGTTTTTATTAATATGGTTTTAAGCGCAAATCTCTGTTTTGTTGCATAACATCCTCATGCTTTTTGTACTGAGCCTATGTTTTGACCAGTTTTGCCTAAATTAATGTATTTGTTTAGTTTTTGTTTGCCCTCGGGAAGACTCTTTTTCTTGCTTTGGAAAAGGATTGTATGCAGCAGAATTGCTAAAGGTAAAAAGACTTAACTACAGCACACTGAATAGAGATAATACCAAGTTTAGAAGTTCAGTTTGTTTTTAGTTCAAGTTATGTTTCCCCTCTTACCCCTTGCAACCCTCATGTTGACCACGTACTGGGGATTTAGCAATTGCACCGTTTTGACCATATAATTGTATACATAACATTATACTTTTTATATCCTATTTTAAAACAGATGCTATCCTTTGTATTTTTTTCCTTCTAAAAGCAGTTATGTCTCATTAGAGACTTGGTCTTCCTTTGCTTCCTGCCTTTTTGAGACTTTCTTTGGATATTCCTTTCGTCCTTAAGAGTGTAATGACTTTTTATGCGGCAAAAGAACAGAAATCCAATTTAAGTTCTCCTTTCTCTCCCTTTTATTTATCCCTCTGTAGCAACCCAGCTTTATTTCCCAGGCTAAAAGACAAGCTGGCATTGTTAATAAGGCGAAGTAAAACAACAGTTACTGATTTTTTTTTTTTTTCCCCCTTTTCTTTTAGACCTCTATAAAAATGGGCTTCAGAGAGCTAATTTTGTACCATTCATAGCTGTGCTGAAGGTAAGGAGAGTCACATGCTAAATACTTTTCAGTTTTACCTGTTTTATTAATAAATTAGAGATTTATACAAGATTATTTTGATAGTAGTTTTCAGATAATATGTCCAGGTTTTAACTGTTTGAGGCAAAAATAATTGGAGATAGGACAAAAAAGGAAGTCCTCTGCTCTAGAATTCTAGAGATACACTCATTCTAGAGTGTATCTCAAAAAGCAGAACATTTACTTTGACAAAAAGTTTTCTTTTTCTTTTTTTTTTGACTAAGAATAGTAGGATTTGTTCGTTTAGATGGGATTTTCTTACTACTATCTATGTGCCAAGTGGTGTTGTAGTATTCCTGCAGTAGTTCTAGTTTGGCATTAATGGATGTCTTAGGTTTATTATTATAAAACTTTGTTTTATAAACCTTTAAAAACCTTTTTTATTATTATCTTTTAAGAAGAAAAAGAGTATGATCACTTCACCTAGGCAGATTTTAGTTATTCAGTTCTACAGTAAATAAAATCAGAGTATCACAATATACATACATGCTGTATTTTACAGTATTTTTTTCAGATACTTTGTCTACTTAATATATTACATTAAACAAAGAATTCACTCTGCCTTTCCATTTAGGCTTATCTTTCCCATCTCTTTAAGATGGCCAAGTCTGGTGAAAGGGCTAGTCAAGCAATAAGCCCAACTGAGAGAGTTGCAGGTAGGCAATGTAAAGAGAAGCTGAAAACCCTCCTTGAACTTCTTGTAGTTCAACCCATGCAGCTTGCAGGAGCTCCTGCAGAGAAGAACCACGGCCTTATTTCATTCTCTTCATGCCCTGGATGTTCTGCTGGCTGGCATTAGACAATGTCAACCTCTTGTTTCTGAGTCTTTCTTCTTTGTTACTCTATATGTGTTAATGAGAGAGGTGTCGAGCAGTCTTGCAGCCTCCTGCAGCCCCTGGCCAGCACTCTGTGGGCCCAGGTTTGAGGACCATTCCTGTGCATCACTTGCTGCGTGAGTATTTGTGAGACTGTGGATAATGCCTGGCAAGTCTTGGAACAAGCTGCCTGGAGTCTGCGTGTTGTGGCGTCGCAGGCTGCAAACTTTATAATTACTTCCTTCAGAGTAAAAATGGAGCATCTTATTTAAATGTGAATAATATGATCAGTGTTTATTTTGCTATTTAAAAGAACATATGCTGAACTCGTGTTTTTTATTCTGGGCAAGTCACAGATATTTTTAATTCACAAACTATACTTGTATTGTTAGATTATTCAGGGTTAGCCTGCAGCTGGTGGGGTTAGCACACATCTCCTGTGTGCTGGTCTGCTTGCCTTGACATGACATCTGAAATGGAAATGACAGCATTTCCTTACCTCACAATATTATTATCAGCATAAATGCGTAATACTAAAGTAGACTGCAGCAATATCCAAGAAAGGGAAGCTGGAAGTTTCGAGGAGGTTTAGACTAGGGAAAATTTGCAGAACCATCATGTTGGTTGGCTGTTGCTGCTAAGGTGGTCAGCATTGAAGTAGTTAAGTGTCCTGGGCTTTCAGTGGGCCATGGTGGAATCATAAGACTGCTTAATTGCCTCAAATACCTTAGAAAATCCCATCTGATGTTAACATATGAGCCATTAACAGGTTTTGAAGTTAGTACACCAATGACAATGAATATGACAATATTTGTATCTCAGAAAGGCTGTGTATAAAGTCAGGGAGAASGTGGTTCTTATCTGGGTGGCTTTAGAAAAGTGAAAGACACAAACTAAATGAGCAACCATCTCCCCTTCCGAATCTTGAAAAGGGTTTATTCTTTAGCCAGCTGTGTCAAACGCGAGATAGGTTCTGAGCAGAGTTTCAGTGTTTTCAGGAATACGGATAGTCTCGGAGGCTTTTGCTTTTTGAAAAGCAGCATCATGCTCAGTCAGCTTCCATGGCAGTTCTTTCTTTTCCTTGCTGTTAGACAGTTGTCTTTTCTATATATTTTTCCTTGTTGACTCTTAACTTTCTTCCTTGATTAACATACAGTTCTTTTACAAACTGATTGACAGACTTAGTGAAGATCTATTATCGATGCTTATTTGCAGTTTGCCTGTCTCTTCTGTTTGGCTAACAGAAGAAAAAAAAATGCGAAATGGAATTTATATCCATAAATTTTCATCAGGATTGAGAAAACAATGAAAATTTTAAGAAGGGATGTTGTGAATCCCTTCACAACACATTCTCTCAGCATTCACAGAATTCACAGAATGCTGAGAGAAACCTTAAAGGTGAATTGATTTTTAAAGCCATGATTAAAGGTGAAATAGTGGGAAACGAAGTGCAATGTAGCACAGCCCACACTAGGGATACCCAAAAATTACCATAATAATGAAGAGAGAAATAAGGTCTTACTCAGCTTTCTATTTCAAGGGCCTATCTAAAATTCAAGATTACTTTCAGTTTTTATTTTTCCCTTGCCTCTTTGTGTTTTAACACTGCTCTAAGTGCATTTGCCCTTACCGCCACCTTAATAAATATTTCTAAAAATAAGTTTTTCCCAAAACATAACGCATGTAGAGTAGATCAGGAGAAGCTTATCACCAAATAGATCAGGAGAAGCTTATCAACAAATGCATCTTGGCCCTTAATTGGTAACCTGAGGATATTGGCAAGATATTTAGAGTAACAACAACTTCCAAATCTACATTTTGAATTCAACACATCAAAAATAGGCATTAAGGGGAAAAAAAAACAGCCTTGGATAACTTTTAAAGTAACATCACAAGAAAAGGCTTTAGGCGTTTGCAAATATTTGTCTTCCTATGTTCTGTACCCTTCAGCTCCTTCCGAGGTGCGTGTCTGGCCTGGGGTCATTCTACCCTGTTTCCTTGAGGTGACTTTGACAACTAACTTGGGTTTTAGTTTTCTCCAGATTCAGAGCCTCCTGTTGGCTGTTTTGTTCTGGTGCTGGGGCAGGTTTTGTCTTGCTTGTTTGTGTGCTTGTTTTAGAAGATAACTGCTGTCACCCTAAATCTTAAAATAAGGCTTTAGCACTAAAAATAGTTCAAGTTCAATGCAGGAACTTTGCATTCCTTTATATGTGATGAATGCAAAGCATCCACTTTCTGTTAAGAGACACTTCACTTCCAGTAGCGTAGATTTCAGGCATTTGTATTCMTTTCATAAATAGAACAAGTAGTTCCTCGATATATGATGTTATGCTTAAATCTTTCCCTTTCTACTTCTGCATATTACTGTACTTTTATGCAGTTWAAAGGCTGCATAAAAGCTTCCCATGTAACAGCCTGTCTGTGTAGTGGGAAGGACCAGTGGTGCATGACGTCCTCTCCTCAATTCTGAACCTCTCCCAGATATTCAAATCTCTTAAAATCTTAAACATGTAGACACCTGTTTTTTCGGTGACTCTCCTCATGTAACTTAAAGTATTAGTTTACATAAATGGGGGAAACTCTCTCAATTTTTTTTTTAACTCATAGTAGCAGCTAGATTTTTTTTTTAGGACAGAATATTCTTTATAAATGGGCTTGGTTTCTGYAATAGAGAGGACTGCTTCTGCACTCCATGCAGTTTCATAAATGCTGCTTTTTGGACACGTGTTGTGCCAGGAAGGAAATTGTTTTATTTCTGTAATGGCAATAAAATTCCATTCCTTCAGACTGAGCTTTTAATATATTGCAACATCGCTTTCTGAGTGCTTTAAAGTAAGTTTAGATGGAAATTCTAAGTGATTTCTATAAACATTGTTCCTGACAAATAAAACGGCTAATTTGTTAAGGTGCTTGGAACAGAAATCCTCCAAAAATTTACTCGTGTAAATGATGCAAAAATACAAAAGCTTTCTACACATTTTATAGATAACTTATAAATGGAGTCATACATCTTAAGTCACCTAACGTGAATTCTTCAAATAGGAGTAAGCAAGCTTTAATTTGTTGGTTTGTCTGTAATTTGGCAACACTTTAATTTTTGCAGACATTTAATATAGATATCTGCATTAACTGTCATATATTCTGAAATCCTTATTCTAGTTCAGTGACATTTAATCCTGTGGAGCTATGGGAAGGAAAGCTCCTCAAATAATTTGATGTGTGTAAACTACAGCTTATATTACCAATTCTTGAGCTTTCAATAGTTTATTGAAACTGTAGCATGTATTCTTTTAAATGGCAAGTGAAGTCAAAATGTTAATTACGTAACTTTAGCATTTTGTCAGTTTTTTTCATGCAGTCAACCTTACACTACACTAAGTTTTGACTGAAAGGCAGAAGGATTTAGGGCTTAAGTTGTACAATTTTGCAATATTTAGCTTTGGCTACCTGAATACTGCTTAAACAGAAGATAAATTTCATACAGACATTATCATTAAGACATAAATTTATTGTAAGCTTCCTGTAGTGGACTTAACTATTTTCTTCTGTTATTAGCAAGCAAAGTGTTACTTATTTTCAGACTACTTCATTAAAGTGACTAACAGCGGTAAATGTTGTACACTCCTTYCAAATACACAGCCTTGTGTATGTATGCTGTTTTCTCTTTATTGTCTTTCTCAGAGTAGTTTTAATTAAAATATACACTTTCTTACAAAGCAATAAATGGAGAAAGTTAAAAATATTTTTACCTCCCAGTAATTTATTTTCAATGCATGAATATGTAATGAAAAATACTTATTTAAAATCTTTAAAACTGCTTGGAACTGTCCTTAAAGGAAATGTGTGGGTGTTAATTTTGTACCAAGACACTTGGTAGATTTAAATATCTTTGATTGTGTATTCAGCTTTTGTCCAGCCACCTGTGTTAGAAACACACAGATTTTTGGTGGGCGGATCTGCCAATTCTTAAAATAAACAAATAGAAATAAAAAGTCATCTCCTTGTTGGAATTGATTTGCCAGCTTGCCCCATTCTGCTGGTGTGATAGCCCAGCCGCTCGCAGGGCGCTCAGTAGTTAAAACCTGCTTTTGAGGTCAGTGTCAGCCACTCTGACCCCTGTGAACTGTCACCTGAGTCAGAATTGCT